CGTTTTATGGGTACATCAATCCAACACAGTTACACAGGGTCCAAAAAGTGACTCATGCGGAAGTTAGGTTTTAATTCGATGATTTTTTCGGGAAAGCTTCCACACAAACTTGGCCATAGAAGACTGAGAGTCTGTGTCAACGTCTTCTGACAACATGGCACTGGATTCGCTAGTCGTATAGCCACTGCCTTGGTTGTGGCCAACACCCGTTGACGTAGGCCTCTGGAGAAGCTAGCTGTTGTCCGTAAGACGACCTGGGAGGCTTCTTTGGCATCGACTCGGGGATTCCCATCGGCAAGATGTGCGAGAATAGAACTCGAAATCGATCTGTTTTCACCTCTACCTAGTCAGGTCGGTAGGCGCTTGCGTACTCTCTTTTCCAGGCGCCTCGTTGTACGGCCAATTTAAACACGTGTTTGCCAAACTGACTTTTCATACTATGGAAATGTTTGTTTGTCCAAAATCTATGTATGTGAGCCTAACTGAATTATAATCATTTGGTTTACTGAATGTTTTTTGCTACTTTTCCCAAGGTGAGGGACTCAAGGCCCTTCAAGGAAAAACAAAACGCTTTTCACAATTAGACCAACACGCGAAAACAACTGCCGTGTGCATTTAACTTCTTCTACACTTATACTCATTGTCAGATCATGGGTCGTTGAACTTTAAGCCTAATGTCCCTGAATTTTAATACTATACACTCTAAACACCTGAGTTGATACATAATTTGGAGGTAATCAGTAGTAAATCAAAAGGTTTCCTTTCACTTGTCATTATCCTCATCGGTGTCAGTCCAAATTATTGGTATTTCCTCGGTGGACTGGATGGCAAGTAAAGTGACCTCAACTTGCTAACTATAGTAGCTCCAACTAATCGTGCTCAACAGACCGATATTTTGCCGCCTTGAATAGCGATTAGTTTGGTCACCATGTCCCTCCGTGGGTAATACTGAATGCGAAACCTGATTCTGCCATGCGAGGCCGACTGTTAGACGACGACACATGTCAGACCTGTCACTCTTGATACACCGCCTTGACGCAGAATTGCAACGGGATCACGCAGTGGATCTTACGCAGTCCGGGTTAACTAGGGCCGGACTTCAAATGTGAGTTAGTCGGCAACCGCCTCAGTTAACAATCGACCTTATATCGCTCAGCAATTTGGCCTACACTTAACCCCCTTAAAATTAGTCTGGGTCAGACAAGACGCAGCACGGTCAGTGTTCTAAATACTTTGTTCTTCAGAGACCCAAAGTCTGCTGTCTGTCTCACAAAGACAACGTTGACTAAATGAATAAGCCTTGTATTTTTAGTCTTCTTATCGTAATTACTAAGTCCAAAACAATTGCTGAAAAGTTGTATTTCAGACTCATCAGAATGTCGGCTTTTGGATGCACTCCTGTCTGGCCTTCTGTAAAAATTGCGATCTGCAAAAGGTAACTACTTATGTAGCATGCATTTTTCGTATTGATTTTCGATGGTCGCACATATTCAAAAATATTTTATAGAAAACGTGCACAAGAATATGCCTTATTTTACCGTTCGGTAGAAACTCACACTGTCTTTACGCTTTAAAGCTGAAGAAAATGTACATTTCATGATATCGGTCACACAATACACGGCAGATACACTTACCTATAATCTGACGGTAATTATTTTGTCTCAATTAAAAGTCCTTTTTTAAAACAAGTATTTTAACCGCCCCAGACTGGGAGAAACCTGATATTAACATTTTAGCATCTCCTTTGTCGTAAAATCTGCACAATTTGAGGTGTATTTCATTGATTTAATCTACCGCTGAAAACGCAGCTTTTAACCCTTGTACTGCAAAATCACCTGTAATTTAAGTGACATAAAATTCAAAAGAATAAATGATCTATAAAAACAAATATACAATGTCAAGCAGCTACCACCGATTATCTTACATTTAAATATATCGTCACAGATCC